ATTAAAGTGTTATCAAAGCTGGTAAAGGTGCAGCTAATTTGACAAATTAGATCAAAGTCAAGTAAAGTGCAAATATCTCAGTACTTGAATAAATGTACTTACTCAGTAACTTCCCACATCTGAAATGAGATATGACTTCAAGTCATGTGATAATTTCTTAGTATTTGATCCTTCAACTTGGCCTCAGGAAATGCAAGGACTTCACAGTTTTGGCAACAAGTTTTGGAGAAAGCAAATCGGAGGCTTAAAAAGAGACAGGGAGGTGCATCTTCATCATCTTCATCATCTAGCATGCAAGAAGTGTAAATAGAGGACAGTGAAGGAGACACTGAGGAGGACCACGCTTCGTGTGGGCTGAGTACCAAACGCTGTCTCCTGGTACTCATCTGAGTAACTCACTCAAAAAGTTATGTGCACCCCTGGTTATAGATGTAGAAGTAGTTACTAGTACTTTCGGCACTATCCCGATAGCATACTCTAGCTTTATGTTCATAATGAACCGGCAGCTGGGATTTGTTTATATTGTAGCCCTTTAAAGCCAAAGATGACGAAGCCCATGTGAATCTCTGGGTGTGAGACGATGTTGGAGAATCAAGTCGGATAATCCTCATTGACCTTTTTACATTTCCAGTTCATCACGTTTCCCTGCAGTACTTCCTTTTTTGTGGAAGGGACATTAGGCAGACAGACAGGAAGTTGTCTGATCCTGTTAAGTCTGCTCTGTTGTCCCCCTGTTATTTCAAGTGCTCTAGCGACTTGAAAGTGTAATTTCCTGTAAGCACTGCAACAAATGACTCATAGTTCTTGACAATACAAAGACCTTGCAGACTAAAGTCTTGCCTCTGACTCTCTCGACCACTGAGACCACCTAAGGGTGTGTGATGGTGATCAGGAAATGAATGTTAAAAGTCTCCCTGTTTTCACATTAATACATTCTGTTGCACCTCAGTTTGAAATAAACCAGTAAAAACATGAATTGCATTTAATCCCCATGTGTCTTTTTGCCAGTTGCGACAGCATTGCTGGTATTGTTTTCCCTGTGGAGTCTGTTTGTGTCTGCGGACATGTCATTTGGATGTTATGGTCAACTGTTCCTTTAAGCTTCATAGGTTGTTTTGTGTAATATGATTTGTGCAGACTTAATTTGAAGGACCCTGGTTCTCTCCCTTAGGTGACCCCAGTCTGAGAGGAGGTAATGGGATCCCCCCTCGCTGTGTTTACCTGGAGGAGATGGCTTCAGATCTGGATGGACAGGACTGGCTGGACACGGATAACATAGAACAGGTCTGACGTCTTTTTGTGTCATCACTCCATTTGTCCCACATCCTGTTTCTACTAAATGTTAAGAACTTCTATCATTTTCGGATGTTTCAAAAATGTATTATTGAGTAAGTTGACTGATTTGTGTCTTTAGGCTTTGTTCAACCGTCTGCTGGTGCTAGAGCCGGGGAACAACCTCATCTACATGACGTCGTGCAGCGCTGTCAACCTGTCAGCTGACCGTGACGCTGGAGACACGAGTGCCATCCGTTACCTCTTCGCCTGTTACCAGAGGTCCAAAGAAGAGGTGCGAGTTTTTCCTACAGGACTTGTTATCGTAGCACTTTAACTAACCTTCAGAGATTGCCAGTTGTAAATATTCTCATTAATTGGAACAGAAAAATAACCCTTTTGCACTATTTGATATGTATTTACTTGCACATCTCACAACATTCTCTTGCACTATTCTATTTCTATTGTTATTTCTTTCTCTATTTGTATTGGTTTAATTTCTTTCATGTCCTATATATATTCATGTTGCATTGTTGGAGGAGCCTCGGACTTAAGTCTTTCATTGCCATATCTACACTGTAGCTACTGTGCACATAAAGCCTTGAATTGAATTAAATTAAATAGAATAAACCAGGCTCTTTCATAATTGAGTGACTGGATTATCTGTGTATTAGGTGACGAAGGTCCCGGAGAAGTTGCTGTCGTTCGCTGTACGCTGTAAGAACCTGACAGTTTCCAACACACGCACAGTTCTGCTCACCCCAGAGATCTACGTCACACAGAACATCTATGAACAGCTTCTGGACTTGTTGCTGGAAGGTTTCCGCGCAGCACGTAGGTTCAGGACTGTTTCTTTCCGGCCTCGGTAAAGCTTTTCCTTGATTCTACTCTTCTCTGTTTCTTACAAAGCCGTTGTGTTCCAGAGCCAGAAGAGGTGTTTGAGTTTTTGGAGGAGATCATTGCTGGCCTGCTCTCCGACCAGGAGGTGCGCACCTTTGGGGAGGTTATAGTACCGGTGCTGGATATTTTCCAGGGACGCATCAAAGACCTGGACCTGTGCCAGCCTCTCCTCTACTCCTACCTAGACGTCCTGCTCTACTTCAGCCACCATAAAGATATTGCCAAGGTCAGGAGAAACACACAGATGTTCATAAAAGTTATCATAACTTTGACTACTGACAACAACTACATAGTTCATTGCCCACCACTAATCGAGTAATATACAATAATTCACAGTACATCAAATAATCATATTCAGATAAACAGACATTGCCGAATATTTCACTGTTCTTTTTATTTATTTTTAAGGTGTTGGTGGAACACATTCAGCCCAAAGACCCAGCTAATGGTTTGCAGTACCAGAAGACCCTGCTGGGAACAGTGTTGAGTATCTCCTGCTTGTTGAGAACCCCAGGTGTGGTGGAGGGACATGGCTACTTCCTGAACCCCTCCCGCTCCAGTGCCCAGGAGACAAAGGTCCAGGAGGCCAACATCCACCAGGTAAAGAGACTCTCTTCAGCTTGATGTTGATGTCGGATTTGCTCCAAAGGTCATTGTCTAACGATGTTTACTCTCCTTGTGTTGCAGTTTATGGGTCAGTTTCAGGAAAAGCTTCACCAGATTTTGAAAAACCTGCTCCAGCGATCCAGTGAGACGCGCCACTTGCTGCTCTCGTGGTTGGGCGGCTGTCTGCAGGCTAACGCCGGCCGGGCCAAGATATGGGCCAATCAGATGCCAGAGATCTTCTTCCAGATGTACGCTTCAGATGCATTCTTCTTAAACTTGGGTGCAGCACTGCTGAAGCTGTGCCAGCCCTTCTGCCGGCCGCGGTCACCCAAACTCCTGACCTTTAACCCCACCTACTGTGCCCTCAAAGAGCTGAGCGAGGAAGAGAGGCGCAATCGCAATGTGCACGCAAGAGGTTATTACATTTGAAAATGAGCATCAATTTGACCAGTTCAAATACATTATCATCATTTTAAGTATTAGTGCAGCTGCTCTGGTGTTTGCATTGTCTTTATAAATGGGCTCATAGCAGTTTGGATTTATAGCATTTATAATTTTACAATTGTACAAACTACATTTTATGTCTAAATAATCCCCAATCTCTTACGTCAGGTCTCGACAAGGAAACCTGTCTGATCCCTTTGCCCCCCCAGCAGCCGGTGGAGTCTGCGCAGTCGTACAGCCTGCTGACCGAAAACCTCATCCTCACACAACTCACCATGCATCTCGGCTTCCACAGGTGCATACCTTCAAAGAACTTCCATAAATAAATAAAGAAACTTCCCGTTTTACATACCACACAGAAATGTAGCATACCTTATGTTCCTCATATTCACACCATATGTCAGCATTAACCCGTACTGTGTTTTTCTGTTTGTTTCCATGCTTCTGTGGCGTGCATGTGCAGACTCCACGAGCAGATGGTGAAGATGAACCAGTCTCTCCATCGGCTCCAGGTGACGTGTCAGGACGCCCAGCGATCGGGCAACCCCATGTCGGATCAGCTGCTGGAGCAGTTTGAGCGTCTGATGATTGTTTACCTGTCTACCAAAGCTGCCACCACTCAGCCCGCCATGCTGCAATGCTGCCTTAGCCTCCAAGCTTCCTCGGCTGCGCTGCTCGTTCAGCTGGGTGTGGGGAACCAGGGGCCTGAACATGTAGCACTCAGTTTCCCCCTGCCCCCCCTACAGAACACTGTGCTCTGCTACGTACCAGGTAGGTCACGTCTCCCACTACACTACAAACACAGTTAAACATAAAGCCGCTCAATCTTAAGCTTTGATTGATCGGTGGGTTCAAGGGAGGCTGACATTTCATTTCTATACATTTTTCATGCTTAAATCTCATCAGGTTGTTTCATGTTTTTATATGTGTTATCTCGTAATTGGAGCATGTTTAAAAGTGTGTTGTGTAAACTTATAACTCAACAAATAATTGATAGAAATCCTTTTCCTATGATATTACGACGCCTTGCAACTTGAAATTATTAAAATTTCACACAGATTTTATTTTAAGATGTATATTTTTGTATATTTCCCTGTCGGGTTCAGGCTCAGTCAGTTAAAATTATTTTGGACCATTACATTAAAACCTTTAACTCTGCTTATATAATATATATATAAGCGCCTTTGAGCATTAGGAAAAGCACTATACAAATCCCATATATTATTATTATATGCAGGTGATACTTCAATATTTTATTTATAAATGAATGAAACCCTCTTTATTTGTCACACATACATGCACGCAGCACACAAAGTGAAATGTGGTCTCTGCTTTTAACCCATCCCAGAACTAGGAGCAGTGGGCAGCTGTGCATGCAAGGAAGGGATTAATCACTTGTAGTAAAATGATTCATTGATGCTGAACATACCTTTTTATGATAGTCATCACTTCTGTGTGCCTGTTCCGACAGAGTTCTTTGCAGAAAACATGGGAGATTTTTTCATCTTCCTGCGTCGATTTGCTGACGATGTTTTGGAGACTTCTGGAGAAAATCTGGAGCAGATTCTTAACTTCATCACTGTCTTCATGGGAAACATAGAGAGGTACACAACTACATCTACTATATCAGCCATTGTTGTCAGTTGAAAGGAATAATTGATGTCCTATGGGGTTTGAATGATGCAGACCGCCCTTAGAGTGTTTGGCTCAATCCCCTCTGTCCTGCATGCACAACAGGATGAAGAACCCTCATTTAAGAGCAAAGCTGGCGGAGGTCCTAGAGGCGGTGATGCCCCACATGGAGCCGGTGGCTTCTGGTGCTATTCAGCCAGTCGTGTTCCAGCGAGAGAGAGCCTTCTGCTCCTATAGACACGCACCTGAGCTGGCCGAGGCCCTCATCTCTGTGTTTGTAGACATAGAGTTCACAGGTATTGTATTCCTCACAATTTTGTATATGCTATCGTCGTAGTGATGCAAGCAGCATCGAACTGTATCATATAAAGTCCCCTTGAAAAGTCCAGTTCAGGTGCTGTCACAAGTACAATCACCTAGTGAAAATAACTATGTAAGGCAATGATGAAAATGAACATCCAAATGAGAAATTGAAGAAAAAAGATAGTAGCAATGTTTGATTTCTTTTATTTTTCTCATTCCTTTTATTAGGTGACCCTCATCAATTCGAACAGAAATTCAACTACAGGAGACCCATGTATCCCATCCTCAAGTACATGTGGACAAAAGAAAGCTACAGAGAGAGTATCAAGGTAAAAAAACAACTGGTGACTTTGAGGTTTTCCATCCAAGTAAACTGTTTTCAATGGTTTATTGAATGGCCATACAAAAAGAGGCTCACGTGTTTAATTCTTAAATGTATTTGGTGTGTGCTCTCTTAATATCTAATCCTGTCTTAATCATGTTGCATGCTGTTGCAATAGGTAGAAATCAACTTTTGAAATCCGTGAGAATGAAAACACAACTCTTGGCTTAATAATGAACATTACAATGTTGGTCAAAGACAAGTATCGGCTGGTCGGCCGCTCCTAGGTGTATTACAGAGTTTGCGATCGGGAAACTTCATCAAGAGCAGACCTAGATTTTTGGTGAACAACAAAAAACTCTGCCAAAATGCCAATGTTTCCTCACTCTCATCACCACTCACTCAAATTGTGTCTATTTCTAGAGGAGTAGTAGAGAGGAAAGAAAACAGCCCGGGTAAACTGTCCAGGGTGTGTCATTCGGTTTCACTCAATGAACACAAAGATTGGCTTAGGCCTCTTGACTCATGACAGAGTGAAGGCAGTAGAGAGAATGAGAGCTGAAACAGGCATCTATGGTTTATCACCAGGGGATTTTATGTATTGGAAAATTGTAGTTTGTCGAGCAGATTGATCTAAATTGGCCCTTTATTAAGTTTGACATCTCTTGTTTCAGCACTTGGCGCACTATGCATCTGAGAACCTGGAGGCCATGAACCCCCCTCTGTTCCTCAGGTTCCTGAACCTCCTGATGAATGATGCCATCTTCCTACTGGATGAGGCTATTCAGGTAAGATGATTCAAACATGCACCACCTGACATCTATATGGCAAATAAACTTGTCCATTACATTACTACTGTGTAGTTTATAGTCAAGTACCATTATAGTTTGTTTGTCTGGTGTTTATTTCATCTTTTGCTGTGCTTACTTTGCATTCATTTTTTGGTAAAGGTTACATTTGCGTAAAAACACAAAGTATTGTGCACAAGGAGAACATCTGGCACAGAATTAGTCGATGATGGCCATATAAACGTAATTAATGACTTAAGTTTTTCATTAGCTAAAAAAAAAAATCTTATCTCATAGTACCTGAGTAAAATCAAGGTCCTTCAGTTGGAGCGGGACAGAGGGGAGTGGGAAGGCCTGGCCCCCGATGCCCGGAGAGAGAAGGAGTCGAGCCTGCAGATGTTGGGACAGCTGGGACGCTTCCACAACATCATGTCAAATGAGACCATCGGCACCCTGGCCTTCCTCACATCAGGTCAGAAAACACTTGATTCTTCATGTTGATTAGACCCTCCAGAAAAACGCGGGCAAAAATCCTTGATTATGCGATTAAACATGCAGGGTTTTTATGTGATTTTATGCGGTGAAATTGCGGGAAGTTGCGAAATATGCTAAATATGCGAAATATGCGGG